CGCGCGTTTTATTTATATATAATTACTTCAGTGCTAAAAGAGTTTAGATAACCTTCATCAATATTATACGGGTACTTACATAATTTATAAAGATGAAAAGTTTTTAGAATTTATGTCTGTCTGTCTGTCTGTTACCGTATTATGGAAAACCACTGGAGAGATTTGATGAAATTTGGTATGATGGTAGCTGGTTATCCGGGTCAACATATAGGATACTTTTTACTGCGGGAAAATATCTCATCTCTGAAAAATCTATACTAAACGTTAAAACGTAAGTAGGGACAAACCCGAGCGGAGCGAGGGTGAGTCGCTAGTCTACATGTATAACTTTGAGAAAAGAACCTCAATATCGATCAAACTTAATGAATTATAGTTGATTTTCAACCACGGGACGATCACTAATGATCATAAAAACAGGAATTTGTTTATATGGAATATAAAAGTTCAAATGAGTAAATCAGATATCAAAGTAACGTGTTTCATACTAACAACTAAGAAGAAATAATAAGTTTTTGCTTAAAGCTTATAATTATATTAGATAATTACAAGTACCTACAAGTTAAATCTGCTAAAAAAGTCATTGTAGTTTTAAAGGTCTACTGGAAATTCATTAGTAGTTCAATGTTAAGAAGTTGCTAAGCTACAACTGGATCTCTATACTCTACCAAGCCTGATTGCCGTCATATCTGTTTATAAGTTTTATTGTTAGAGATTACATTGGTGGTCAAACACCAAACAAAATCTATCGTGGAAATGTTTTATTTCAGTGCAAAATGAGCGCTTTTACCATAAAAAATATATTAAATATATTAAAAAAATTACGTAACGCTATATTTTTTAATTATTCTTTGGTATCTATAATCATATTATAAACTAGTATTGCCCGCGACTTCGCCCGCATTCAGATGACCAAAAACCAAATTCTTAGGTTTTACATATTAGTATACTCTTACATTGCAGTTTTTGTATTTTTTCTCAGAAATGAGACATTTTCCTGCGGTAAAAAGTATCCTATATATTGACCCGGATAACCAGCTATCATCATACCAAGTTTGATTAAAATCCCTCCAGTGGTTTTTCCGTGATGCGGTAACAGACAGACAGACTGAGTTGACTTTTTGTTTGCACGGGCTAATAGAAATTACTGTACGTAAATTCATACAATTTTTACCAATACAAAGAAAAATATAAAAAAAAATAGAAAGAGGGAGTCTCTTGGAAGGTATATAGACTACTTAATGAACATATTACAATAGGCTACCAGTATATAATATTATATATTTTTGAATAACGATGAGTTCTAGTATACTATATACACATTAAAATCTATACTAATATTATAAAGAGGCAGAGATTGTTTAAACGCGCTAACCTCAGGAACTACTAATCGGATTTGAAAATTTTTTTTTTAAATAGCCCGTTTATTGGAAAGGCTATAGGATATATATCATCTCGCTACTATCTCTGTTAGTATGCAATATGCGGTTAAAAATATTTCTGATATTTAATTTTAACTTAAATTATATTTTCTGTAGTAAAATATAAGACATTAATCTAAATAACGTGTTAGATGTTTGTCTGCAAGCAAACGTGACTGGCTTTGACACGGTTTCAGATAATTCTGTATCATTATAGAAAAATGTTATCCTCAATTTAAAATTATTAGATACTTATTGTGTGTCTGATGAGGTTTGTAGCAAATTTAGAATACGACATTTCTCTACTTAAGAGGGATGAATTTTCAAAAAAAGTTTTAATTTTTTTCTTCCTGATAAGGAAGTTACTTTGTAATTTTTTTTTAAATTACATGACAATAAATTATCTCAATACTGATATTGAAATAATTTAAAAATATGTAGAATATATTCTAAATTCAAATTTTACTACAGTTGTAACTTACGGTAGCTTTCCCTGACAGTATCGATTTAATAAATATAAAAATATATAACCTTCTTAAAGTTTTGGACTATTGTTTTAATTAAATATAAAACAGTACAGCCATAAGTTTAGACTAACAGAAATAGTTTAACACAAGCTTTTAAATTTTAAACACGGCAAACTCCATTTTAGTAAACTTTATAGGAGGAAACTAGAAACGTGATTCTGTCAATAATCGTACGAATTCGGAAAAAAATTATTGAATTTTTAGATTATACACCCGCGTTCAGATGACCAAAAACCAAATTCTTAGGTTTTACATATTAGTATACTCTTACATTGTAGTTTTTGTATTTTTTCTTAGAAATTAGACATTTTTTCGCGGTAAAAAGTACCCTATATTTTGACCCGGATAAACAGCTATCACCATACCAAATTTCATCAAAATTCCTCCAGTGGTTTTTCTGTGATGCGGTAACAGACAGACAGATTGACAAAAATTCTAAAAATTATAGTTTCGGCTTCTGTATCGATAATAATGTTTATTTCAATTAGATTTTCCAAAAAATATTTAATGTACAAATTCGGCTTAGTTACAATTTTATTATATGTATAGATAAATAACCTTAAAATTATTAAACTGATGCATTATTTTTTCCGAATTAGTAGTGTTATTCAAAAATTTAAAAAAAAATTGACTGAAACAAAGTTAGACGACTTGCGAATTAAAATATCGGTATATATTCTTACATATAGCTATGTAGGGTCAGCAGAATTCTAACTTTCACACATACGCGAGTAACGGTGCGACACACATCTTTGACTAAATTATACCTGATTACAAGTTCTATCGTCACTCGACTGGTCTAAAGACATGATATTAGGTTATTTTTATAAATTATCATTAAAGAGGAATTTCTGCGATTTTGTCTCAATTATAATAATTTTAATTTTTACTAGATAAAATCATATTTAAAAAATAATGATTGCATACTTAAAAATTGTTTTTTATTTAGATATATTGTAATATCTTTTTTTTTAATTTGGTAAAGACTTATTATGACTTCTTCCCAATATACATTAAATATATTAAAAATCATATTATGATATGTAAAATTCCATATGAGAACTATTTGATTTCAGATAAATAGAACGCTAGGAACTCACTCGCTTCTCTCGGGTTCGTCCTTAGTGAAAAACAAAATCAAATCTATCCCACGGGAACCGTATATTTTTCCGGAATAAAAAGTAACCTATGTGCTATTCCAGGCTATAATCTATCTCTATGGCAGATTTCATCCAGATCCGTTCAGCCGTACTGACGTGATTGAGTAACAAACAACCATCCAATCTTTCGCATTTATAATATTAATGGGATGACATTAATATTATAAATGCGAAATATTATTATCCTAGAATTCGTTGCAAAAACAAAATTCTGAAAGCAATTTAGAAACATGTTTTTTTTAATTGACCGTTTCCAAAAATACATGAATATGTTCTTTATCTCTACAAGTAATGTACTTAAAAAGCTTTTTGGATGTATTTAGTTAGAAGAGCTATTAAGAAAAAAAACCTAAAAAAGAAAAGTATTTAGTCTTTCCGTTTTAAGTGAGTCATAAATAGCATTTTTGAGCAATAGAATTAAAATGAAATAGATTTTTTTACTGTAAGAAATTCATTATTAGCTGTCAAGTGTTATACCTTCGCCTAGCTGCACACAAAATGCAATTTATCATAAGTTTTATTTAATTTGCAATGTTTGTATGTACGTTTGGGTCAAATCTTTCAACTGAATTTTTTAAGAAGTTATCCTCAACCGATTGAACTGAAATTTTGCATACACGTTTAGTTTAGATGACAATTCGTGGTTAGATAAGTGACGTCATTCTAAATCCAACATGGCGGACTCCCAAAGATGGCAGACTATGTTTTTTTTTACATCCCCATGATATTGATATCAAATGAAAGGGTTTGCTGAGAAGATTACGAATAAGCGGTTAAAATTTTTTTTAAATTAAATCAAACCCATTTATTACATTACACAATTTATATGATATAAAAGCTTGTTTTTTATATTAATTTATATATCTACAAATACCTATCCATTTTATTGAATTCGATTGGCTCGCTTGGCTCAGTAGGCTCGCTTGTATTATAAAATTTGTACGGATAAGTAAATCATTATTCTATTAAGTCCGTGGGTAGATACTTTGCATCTTACAGTACCGCTAGGAAAATGAGTCGACCGTTACCCAACCTTGTCTGATTGTATCTAAAGTTATCTCAGAACCTCGCATGCTATGAATTGTGTGTTTTTCAAAATATGCGAAAATAAGGGATCCTAAAAATGAAAATATTTTAGTTAGATTTGCCCGAAATGGGTAGTAAGATTTTAGTTTCATTTTATTAATACGATTTTCACCGTCTGTTGCTAAATGCTTCTTACTTAGATCTATTTATAGTTATTAAGCTCTAATAACTATCGGTTTTTTATCTATTTCTTAAAAAAATATTTAGTTTCTGATTTATAATATTAAATTGTAATATCTCATTATTATATGTATGTATATCGTATTTTTATTTTTAATCATTGTAATTTTTTGTGTGGTATCATTCTGTCTCTATTGTTGTAAGTTGTTTCTTTAGATCGATGATTTTTTTTTAAATGTAATACTTTTTTTATTTGATTTAGATTAGGTAGACGTTAAACATAGTATGTACTAATTAGCATGTCGCTAATAAATTAGCGACTCACACTTGCTTCGCTCGGTTTCGCTTCTAGGTTGTTTCCCTATAGAAACTTTCATCCCTATATTCACTCCCTTAAGGGATGATTTCCAGGATAAAAACTATCCTATGTCCTTCCCAGGGTCTCAAACTATCTTCTTAACAAATTACATCTAAATCGGTTAAGTATTTTCGGTGCTTATTCGGTACAAACAAACAGAAAAAATCTTTCCTCTTTATAATATTATTAGTATAGATAAGTAAGATAGTTGTAATTCTACTATTCATGTTTGTTGCCGTAGGTGACAAAAGAAATAAAAAAAAGTATATATATAATATAATAACATTCTTTTTGTTGTTCCAGAATAAAATAATGCAAAGATAGCTACGCCATGGGTCCGCCAATAACCGCGTGGCCTTACAGCCACCCAAAAGTGACCAGTGACTCCAAGTGTTTGTTTCATTTTATAGACAATCTGCGCACTTTAGGCCTAAATTTCACATTTGGTTTTATATTTTTACAAGTGTTATTGAATTTGAGTCCAGTGACCGCTGGCCCTGTTGTGCTAAGCCTCGATTATATGCAAGGTGAGTTAGTCTAATATTTACATATACTTATTTATATACTTATACATAAAATACTAGCGAAATGCCCTCGTTTCGCTCGGATACGTCCCTAGGTGTTTGTTTGCCATACATTTTATAGCTTTATTTCAAACCGTTTAGGCAGCGCACGCTGAAAAAGCAATACTATGGTCAGTTTTTTCCAACTTCATTTAAAGTTATAACCATTTCTGACAGTAAAACTATTTTAATCGGAATAAAAAATATTCCATAGCACATGGCAGTAATGTAGGTTTATATTATAGCCTATTAGTGAAAGAATTTAGATTACCCCCTTACTTACAAACTTACAAAACTTTTTTATAATATTAGTATAGATTACTTATTTATATAATAAAACTAGCGACTTACTCTCGCTTCGCTTTTAGGTTTGTGAATAACAAAGACAAATCTATCCCACGGGACCCGTATATTTTTCCGGGCTAAAACCCTTAGGGGTTTTCTTGCTATTTACATATATGTGACCACCCTTGAGGTACAATCATTTCATTAAAATAATAATATTCAATATCTCCCGTTTGCTTTGACGTTAGTCAAAGTAAAATAAAATATTTTTGAATAAAATCTTGATTAGTCTCTCATAGATTTGACAAAAACCTAAAGTTTTAGGTCGAGACATATATTTGGTTATTTTTCATTATTGTAAATTCGAGCAGCACTGAAGTCGAATGCTTGTGTCTATAGAAGAAATTAAAATGCTGTTGAAAGTAAAATTTACACAAGGCCTTCATACGATTGTGTCAAAATATTTTCACTTCAAAATGTACATAATAATAGAAGATTCGTTCCACGAAGACCGACGTTGTAGTATCTTTTATTCACTTACACTTTTTAGAAGCGTTGTTTACTTTGCTTTTGTTTGTATGACTGTATTTCCCGTTCAAAATTAGTAATTTGATTTACAAACATTGGAGTTGGTCTGATGATGAAACTAGGTGTATATATATAAGATAAGATCTTAATTTAACTTATATTTTTTTACATTACATTTACTATAAATTTATAATAAAGAAAATTACAAATATACTTAATATATATATATATATATATATATATATATATACATACAAAATAAATGAACACTTAATTATTACTGTATAAGTCACATCCGCGTAGAAATATGGCAAGATTCAAGAATCATTGCCGCATTCCCCCAATTCTTTGGGCGAGCCAGCTCTCCTGTCACCAGTAGAGGCGACGATAAGACGAGGTGTTATGTTTTTTAAGAAGTGCTTAACACTTGGATTCCATAGGCCAAGAGTTTCTACAGCAAATGGTATAAAGGCATTATTTAGACTAAGGTATAATTTTAATTAGAAAATAAGTTCGTAAATTAAGCTCAAAAAAGAAAATGACATAAATGCTTATGTATTTTTTAAAAGCAATATTGCCATATTAAATTAAAAAAAAAAATTGAATATAGTGCTACAAATTTATCTGGCCCGATAACGGCGTCGGTGTTGTTGAATTTAGTGATGCCGTTAAAAAGAATTTCTGATGTTTTTAGACGAATCTCAAAATCAAAATCGAGTTATCGAAATTTTAATTAGCAATTTTAATCATTGTTATACAAAGCGATATGACAAGGTATAATCAAAACACATTTTTAATGAATTACATATATTTTAATGTTACAATTATGATCATGTAGATAATCATCTGGGTAATTTAGAGACTGGATTCCAAGACAACACTTGACAACAAAATTACATTTCGAAATGGCGACACGTAGTTCCAATTTTTTGCCACCGAGTCATATAAGTTTGTGGCACTGTACTTTCACCTGAACTGCTACAATAGATTATATCAGGACACCATTATTTAAATAGATAGAATTTTTTCTCTATACAAATTAAAAATTGGAATAATATTTTCTTTTTAAATACTTTAATAACCTTTTTGGTAAGTACTTGTAACTCTGAGAACGGCTTAAATGTGGCAACAATAAATTTAATCAAAAGTTTTACAGCATTCAGTTTATTACATCGCTAATAGTTAAAAGCGGGTTTTGATTTTATCAGTTAGGTAGATGTTAAGTTTCGTTCAAACGTTGGTGTTACTCTACTCGCCGTTTAAGACAAATACTTTTAATTAATAATTTCTTAACGCGAATATTGGATAATTTACTATCTTTTCGATTTTTCTCGCGGATTTTTTTTTGGTTCCCAACTTTACGAAATTTAGAATCAAGTTAAAATGGATTTTTAAGATTTGGTTATAGAATCAGTTACTACAAAATTAAAAAAATAAATGAAACCAATTGCAATAAATAATTAGACCCAGAAATTCATTTACCTATGTACTTAATCAGATGTTTTCTATTATAATAGAAATTGGGTGGAAATGACGTATGCTTTATGTCAAATCATCAAAATATTTTCTAAGGGCGAGATCTATCAAATTATAAATCAAAATTACACTTTATCCTATGACAAAGTTCTTAGCAAAACAAAATTGTACCATAGACTTCGTCAAACGAGTACTTTAGAAAATCGTACTATGCTTAGTAAAGACAGAGTTAGTCATTATTGGTTACTTTGAAATCAAAATAAACTTTGAAACATCTATCGGCTATCCGATTAAGTTATATACTAGCATACATAAATACCAAATTATAATAGAAAAAGTCATTTTTTATTAAAAACAAAAACAAATCTGTCCCACGGGAACCGTACATTTTTCCGGGATAAAAAGTAATCTATGTGTAAAAACAAAACAATATTGGAAAAATAAAATGAAGAGAATATTATTATTATTAGTTTTAACTAGAACTGATCAATAGCAGTTCTAGTTAAAACCAATAATAATAACAATAATCAAATTCCATTCTAAATTGAATTTCATTGCTATTCCAGTCTATAATCTGTCTCTGTACCAAATTTTATCCAGATCCGTTCAGCTGTTCTGGTGTGATTGAGTAACAAGCATCCATGCAAGCATCCAAACATCTAAACTTTCACATTTATAATATTAGGAAGATAGAAATGTCAACTATATTTACAACAGAGAAATCAAAATTATTGAATATAAACTTGGGCATGTAAAATTCGCTTTTTTAAGACAACTTTGAGTAAAAGTGCAGCTATCACTACAAATCTCACTCTAAATAATCTAGTCAAGCCAAAGATATTATTGAATTTACCTACAAAAATATAAGCATATTAAAGATAGCACCTCTTTTTTTTAAATCGGTCACAGAAGAGCAAAAGGATGCAAGTTGTATGTTTAATGAGTTTTTCTAGAATCTGTCATTAAAACCAATCTACCTGTCGATGTGTCTGTAGGTTTTACCCACTTTCACTTGACTTCCTTTCGCATCTGGGTCGAATGTGTCATCTTATTAAGTGGCGCTCATTTTAGTTATTTAAAAAAAATATATTTTTATTGCCTATTCGAAAAATGAAGAATTTAGTCTCGAAAAGAAAATGTAAAAAATTTAATCAACTCTAATTTAAATGGAGTTGTAATAATAAACTAAATAAGATAAAATAATAATACATAACAAGATATTTTTGTAGGTAAGTACTAGTGAGACTAAATCCGAGAGGCGTGGCCAATACAAAGTTCTATTCAATCACCTAGATCAGGGTTCCCAACCTTTCTTCGGTTCAGCCTCCCCAGATTATATAAAATATTGTCATGCCATAATTTTTTGTATTATTTTACCCACATTATTATAACGATTTTTATTTATTTTAATTTTTTGTTATACAAAATAAACTGTCTCTGCGCCCGTCTAAGGGGTGTCTACTTGTATGGTTGGAAACTTCTGATCTAAATCAACTCGACTGGCTTTATTTCAATATTTTTCATTTCGAAATTTTAACATTATTAGTTTTCTTTCACTTAAAAATGGATACAATGCATTAACTGTATTACACAGTAATTCGTAGTTACAAGTGAAGCTGATGAAGTAAAAGGTTAAAATAGCTCTCTTAATTTAACAGCAGTCGCCTAATTGATATTTTTTTATTATATACATCTATTTGGTTTTCAAATTAAGAAGCATGTTTAAGTTCTTTGTAAATATATACTAAAAAAATGGAGGGCGCGAACAGACGTACAGGTCGCGCGGGCAGTGGCCTACGTTACTTTGAAAACATTAGCTATAAGTACTAAAATTGTATTTCCTAGTACTTACAGAATACTTCTCTTACCCTCGCTCTGCTTGGGTGCATCCATAGGTATCTAACTGTAGACTATGTTACTTCAGGTTATAGTAAGTATATCTGACACGAAAAGTAACCTACTTTGCGTATCTTATCTTAGATGGTAAAAGAGAACTTATAATTGTACAGAAATAAAATATGACCTTTTTTAGCGTTGGAATATGCATTTACCCATACCACCTGCATACATACATGGTATGTGTGCATGCGATTTATCGGCAAAGCCAGTACTAAAACCCAACGGAACATCCCCCATCTTTTTGGGGTTTCGCAAGATTGCTTACATACTCAACCATGACACCCTGACGGCAGTACTACTGAAGCAGACCACAAAAACCATGGGCTTGCTCCCACGGTCCACTCTGCTGTCAGAGCACCCTGTATGGCACAACGCCCACCGAGGTGGGCTGCCGCCCAGTGGCTTGTTGGCTTCACGCCCTTGGCTTCATGGTATTATATGCCTCTGGTGGTGGTATATAATAGCATGAATACAAAGAGCACCAGGGTACGCCCTGAACGAAGTTAAGGTCAGACATTAGCAGTGCATAAGTTTCTTCAAAAAAAAAACTACTCAGTATTTCCTTACTCTTATTCACTCTTTATCTTCTTCCTTCAGTCACAGAAAAAGATCGACCGCGGGATTGGTCCCACTATCTTTCTAAATGTGAACTACTATTGATAATTTTGTATGTGAAATACTAATATTTTTAACCTAACCCACGAATCGAACCCACTATAATAAACTGTCGCCATAAGAACTAGCCAATATCTTATAGAGGAAATGCAAAGTAGCAG